GGAGAAAGGAAGATAAAGGGGGGTGTGCAGGAGGGGAATGGGCTATAGGAGTGAGGGAGTGGGGGGTGATGGGAAGAGAGGTGACTGGGAGGTATTATAAAAGAGCAAATCAACACAGACCAGTTGGCCACGGTGAGCGTCTTTGTCAGCAATTCATCAGTCACAGCATCTTAGCAGCTGACTGGGAGCCTTCATTAAAAACTAATTACTTTAGCATTTGGAAGGTACACACAGCCACCCTCGATTCATTGGACTCGGCCTCATTAATATTTAATAGAATGACAGTCTTGGTCTGATTCAAAACACGCTGGATAATCTCAGAACTGTATGGAGGTGAAACTAAGGTCACGGCTGTTTTTCTTATTTCTTCAAAGGCTGACAGTTTGGAGATGAGAGGTTGTCGCCAAACCAGAATATGCAGAAATATGCAAAATCACATGTTAAGTAAACAAACTTATGTTGACCTCATTGAACTTCATGGAAATATAAAATATGATTAAGATTTCAGTTGGTGAAAGACTTGAGTTACATTAACTCTGTACACTAAGTTCAGTGAGAACAGCCGATATTAGCCATTTAATCAGAGGCAATTTACATCGCTGGAATGCAACCAGGTCCATGCAATTAATTACAATAAACGAGCTGCAGACGAGCGTGGCGGTAACGCACACTAGAGAATTGTATCTTTAGCACCAGATCATCAGTAGGTCTTTCTCATGGAAGACATTTTGACATTTCACAGTGTGAAAAGCACAGGTGTAAATAAAATTAATGATGGCTGAATTCCATTTTGCTGCTTTAGTTTCAGGGTCCTGGTATTGTGCATGCTGCCTCACTGGCTTACGGTTTACCTTCAATAGAATACAGGCGTTACTACTTACACCTGTAAGTTCAAATGCCTGCTGTGAAAAAGGACTATTAATGACGGCTTGAATGTTAGATTGAAAAAAACAGTAGTTTTATTTTATGGCAGGATGGTAAACACATTTACAGAATCAAAGACGTTCGTCCAGAGTCTAATCAGACTGTTTATAATCCAGTCAAACATACAGTATTTATCATACATTTTAGTTTTGTTTTATCAAGATAAATAATTTAATTTAATTTAATCATTTATTCTTGGAGATTGGAAAGTGTCAATCGTGTTGCTTACGTAATCAAGAGAACTTGGAAGGGTCTTCTGTCTCAGTGTCTGAAGCCAGGCACTCTTCTTCAGGCGAGTCTGGAGTCTTACATGGGTCTTCTTTGGTTTCATCTAGCCTAATCTGTTTATTTTTCTTGTTAACTAATATTTATTTTGTCCCATATTCTATATTTTATACTTAAGTAGGAAATTTAGCTTTGAGTTTTTAAAACATTTAAGCTTGTCAGAGGGAAACCCTCCCTCCTGCCTTATTGTGACTATTTATTGTGATATAGATTATAGATCATATTGCGCAGCACTGTTTCATTTTAGAAATATCATTTTAATAGAAATATCTGTCAATTATGTTTTGAAGAACACTCAGTCAGCGTTGATATCGCCCTCCACGGATGGTTTGTTAACCTTCACTGGAGTCCCAGAATCCAACGCTCTCCTAACTGACATATCTGACTGTGTGTGAGCCTGCTATTTCCAGAGTGGCATATTATTCCACATTTTTAGAGATCAAGAATCCCCTAACAAACTCCCCATGAATACGTAATGACTGTAGCAGCGGGATTGCAGCTGAAATGACATTAGCATACCACCACCACCCCCAGGCCTGCACCATTTGACAGAGTTGTGTATTACACGCTTGATTCTCCTTACACGGCCCGCTCTGGGGTGGAGAGCGCCATGACAAACCCCGGCCCCATTCGTCGGACCAGTGGTTCACCAGCTGTTTCCAGTGTGGCCATTAACATCAAATCCCCCTGGAGAGTGCCGAGGCTCCGGAGGGCCTCGACGTGTTGGTGTTAGCAGTTGTTTGGCCCGCTAACTGTGTGAGTTAAAGCAGCGGCCGGCCATATGTCCCATCTACCACCCGTCCAGACCTGCCCACTCTGCCTCACGTGATGGGTTGACTGTAATAAAATGGCTGAATGGAGATACTGAAGAGATGGAGGAGGGGTACAAATGGTAGGGAAGGGTGGATGATGGAGGAGTGTAAAAATAGAAAAACGGGAAGCACAGTGAATAGGGAAAGTGTTTTTTCCCGAGTAGATGATCACTGCTTGTAGCCTATATATTTATTCAACCGTTTCCCGTGGCAGTACAGTGCAGTGCAGTGCGGTGCATTGTGTTCTATGGAGAATGTCAGTCGCCTGCGGGAATCAGACGGAGTGGAGGAGTGAAGATGTAAGTTCACTTTAACTGTATTAGATCATGTTTGAGTGGTTAACCAACGCTGACAGGGCACCACAGATGAAGTCATCGATGTCACAGGACCGCACACTGGCAACAAAACGCAAAGGGAGTCACAGGGAGGAGCGTCAGTACAGTAGCACCCAGTTCCTGCAGGGTGGGGTGACTGTCAGGATTTTCTGCTTTTCTGTGTTATTTCTCCGGAGACTAACAACATACTCCAGTTTCCTTTCTCTCTGTTTCTTTGACCCTGTTGTGCCTGACTGTCGCTGTAAAGTGATATTGTTGAAGTATTTATTTAAAGAGGAGTCATTGTTGCAAATTGTGTCTTTATAATAATCATTTCAAGCCATTTTAATGCTTTTATAATAACTAATATAGAGAAGGATATTATTTATTACCTTCTGACCAAACAATTAATCTAAATAAAGAATATAAGTACCATATTAATTGATCATCAAAATAATTGTCACTTGCAGCCCTAACTAGTTATGTAGTCAGGTGAAGAGGAGTTTTGAGACATTGGAACAAGGACATTTAGCAGAAACTGCTTCTCAACAAAATGTGTTGGGCTTATTTAGGATATTAAATAATAATAAGCTAATTTATCCTTTGACAGCCAGTGAGAGAGAACTGACACAAAGGTTAGAGTCTGTTTGTTGCAGGGCAGCACTAACATTAAACACTATTAAACAGCAGAGTGTGACTGATGGTCTACATCTGCAGTAATAGACCCATTTCAAGGTGGATCAGCCTCAGACAGTCGAGTGTATACGTCTTAGATAACTCTGGCTGATGCATGCTACGGGTGCTTGTCTTATTGTGTCAACGTACAGTGGTGCTCAATGAAACGTGATGACTCCATTTGTACGGAAATTACACGATCGACTGGTTGATTGATCTCAGTTATGACAGGCGTGTAAGTCACCTAAATTGATCTTTTTTTAGAGTGCATATGAATGTTGTGTTGAGTTAAGACTCAAGAAGAGAATTTCTGGATTGTGCGTGTGAACATAAACCCTTGTCATCAGCCATCCGTCCCTGATCCCTCAGAGTGCAGGTGGTGAACCAGTCTGTCTGTCTCATGATTGCTTTCTGTCTCCTCCACAGCAGCTTAATGTCGTCTTGCTAGAAAAGCGAAATGAACAAGGCGATGACAAAAGCTGCATGGATGTGGCTGTTTTGTGCTTTAACACCCATTATAATCCTTTTTACATAAACACATGGCATGTGGGTGGCAGACAGACGTGCTGTCAGGAGAAGGATGTGTACCGATGTTAGACATATGGTGGGAACACATTACAATAGTCTGTTCAAATCTGATTGCGGTTAAGGTCGCAAACAATTAAGAGTGTCACTGGTTCTGTAAAATGATTTATTGTATTTTTCATGTATTCACTGTGTACTATGTATTAAATGCAGGATTAAAGGGAATTAACTGTGACTAACTCAGCATCAATGACAGAGTTTCTCTTATTGAAAAGTCCAATTTTGAGATTTCTTGTTATGTGACTCAGATGTATTTTTTTATGCTTACATCTGGTTCAGAAATGAACAAAGACTCACTGAGCTGTATATGTTTTTGTATAAACTACTCTGTAATAGTCAACCACAGCTGCTCCCCTACATACTTTCTTCCAACATCCGTTTGTGTGTGCGCAGAACAAGCTGTTTAACTTGTTTAAACCACAGTGATACGTCCTCTTCAATATCCACCCCTCTAACAAACACAGACAAATTGCCCCCTGCCTACCATCTCCTCACCCCTCCCTTCCCCCTCCCTGTCCCTGTCTGTCATACAGACCTCTGTCTTTAGATTTTGGGGGAGGGTGGGTAGCATGTGTCTGACTGACTTGGGTGTGTC